ACGAGGAACTGATCGAGATGATGGAGAGCAAATAGTGCATAGATGTATATGATTAGTATGGATATGGCATCAATGATTTATGATATAACCCGAATGAAATGTTGAATGCATTGAGTGACGACCTCTTATAGCATAATCGTGAGTGCCACATCATAAGACGATATGGCCGAGCGGTCTAAGGCGATAGACTAGAAATCTATTCTCTTCGGAGGCGTCGGTTCAAATCCGACTGTCGTCGTTTTTGTTTTTCAGGTTATTTTTTGCTCGGAGAGATAGGGTGAGGGTGTGCCATGTAATTGCTATAGTTGTTGCTTTGTGAGTTGAGTTGTGTTCGTTGTTGTTGTGGTCGAGGAGTCGATGCTTCTATACCGACTGCACTGCTAGGGAATTATCAACATATGCGAAAGAATTCAGCGTCGTCTTCTGGTCAAACAAGACAATGACACAGACAAATGAGGAAATACAATATTATATATCTTGAACATGTTCGACACACTATCTAGAGTACCTGCCAGTTGTTGATCTATCATATCAGCCTTTCACCCCAAACTCCAGTCCCTGCGCTAATGCGGAGCGAATCCTGTTAAGGGGGGAGATGCTGTCGATCCTACTATTTTTATGATTTTTTTTTACCTCCTTACTCGTACTGTCCACCATAAGCCATCAGTTGCAATGGTATTAGAATCATGATTTAGTCTTCTCTTGTATTGAATCGCAAGGAATTAATCACGACTCAATCACAACAGTTCTTCTCATCACCCGTCTATCACCTACAACACAAACACATAATCTCAACAATCCAGCCACTCCTGCATTAGCAGGACAAGAAGCACAGAATCCACCCCTATCTAAAGACTCGACCGAATTGTCCGATCCCTCCTCCCAATTTCCACCGTAACACTACCAATAGCACCGCCCGACTGATTCCAATACCCCGTCTCCACCCAGTAATCATCAGCAATTTTCTCAGCGCGGAACTGGTTGCGCTTCGAGCCCCAAGGACAGTCCCAGTAGATGTAAGCGACGCGGACATCTCCATTGTACACGTCAAAGCTTCCCTCTGTGCCAGAGGGCGAGTGTGCTCTGCCGCATGCGAAGACGTTGAAGGACCCGCCAGGAGGTGCCCGGAGAGCGTTGATGTCGGAGACGGGGATTTCGACGCTCTTGTTGTTTTCTATGTGGAATTTGCCCCTGATGATGTGTTAGGGGAGAGGAGAGAGAGAGAGAGCTGGTGCCAAGATGGGCAACTTTATGATTTTTGGATCTTACCAGCCCAGCCAGGTGTTTCTGACACTGAGGGTGTCGAAGGATAGGGAGTTGACGACGCGGATGTGCACCCATTGGGCTTCTGCTCGCTCGGCCATGGTTTAATCGGGAGGGTGGAGGCTGTGGTATGAGTCTTTGGTAGAGAAGATTGTGTAGATTTCCGACGAATCTGAATAGCGAAAGAATTTGCTTCTCGTAGTTCTCTTTTCTGAGTGACCGGAAGGGGGTCTTTATATCATCTCTGGCACTCGCTGCTGAGGTCTGGAGTTTCCGACCACCATCGTCATCGTCCAGCCTAGTCTCTGTAAGTGTGTGCCTAACTGCACCATCAAGTCGGGATACTGGATTCTGCTAAGCCATCTCATTACGTATTCGCAGCAGCAGAAGTAGCAGGGATTGTGCAGCTCATACCTTCTCATTCCCAGTCGCCGAGTCTCTTTGTGCCTTGCCCTCCGAGGAACCTCATAGAAAGCCAGCCCGACAATTGCAAGGCTTTCAACGATGTAACCCCCCAACAGTATAAAGTGGAGTAGAACATCGAACTAAAGGGCAAGCTGAGCGTTCAAAAATGAGGGGGAGGGTTTTGCGCGATGTTCAGCTCATGCATCTCTGATGACATGCATTTGCCACTGCAGGGGTACTATAGGGCAGTTCCCGAACAGTCCATGTCAACAAATTATCTGAAGCACAGGCAGGTCAATTCTTCCCCGAACGTTTCCTTGACCACTTGAGTTGATTTACAGATCCATCGATATTATTCCCCGCTTCATGCAGCGGAATCCAGTGCCCGTCCAGTGGCTTTTCGGAGTCACCGTTAACGAATCAGACATCAATTGCGAGTCTAGACATCGGCTTTAGTACTCGCGATGTTTGTATCCTTGACACTGCCATTGCGTTCTCCATGGCTCTTGCTCCGCTGAATAGACAGTCGTCGTTGTCACTCGATGGAATCTACTTCTCCAAAGAAAATGCCTCATATAGAGAACTGAATGATGCAGAATCGCCACCACAAAGTTACATCTTCGAGAACATTGCATCGGGGTTTGTTGTGGGTGACGTGATGTCTGTATAGGTCCGGGGATTGCTCGTACACTGGTGCTTCAGCATATAAAGGACCAGTATTTGGTCGGAATGAGATGCAACTACCAGTCAATTTTGTGAATCATCTTCAGACCTTTCATACCCCATCATACCTGATCAAAGCAGCCAGATATTTCAAGATGGCCGAACTTGTTCCATATTTCGATGGCATGCAGCAAGGACAGGGGTACGATGAATTCCAATCCTCTTCAGAGATACAATCGTGTCCTTGCTAACATACTGAACAATTCATCCCTCATCTAGATACAATACCTACCTTCAACAAATTGGTGTAGCAGATGCTGTCACTATCACTCCGGGCCAACCGGAGTCTGCCACCTACGACCTCTTCTATAGTAGTGAAAGGATCGATGATTACACGTCCGCACACCCAACTTCTCAGTCTAAAGTGTAATGCTGACTTCTCTCCTTATGTCTTTTTCAGAAAGCTTGCGCAGTCCTTGGAAATAAGTGCTGGCGCTGCTATTTCCGGTTGGGGACAGTCTTCCCAAATCGACGCTAGCTATCTTGATCGGCTAAGGTGAGTGTGATCTTTTCTGGCTTGATTTGCGCATTCAAACCAGCTAATCATCATCGACACAGTTTTGAAAGCAGTACGGTGACCTATCAAGTCCAGGTGTCATCCAGACAGCAGGCATCAATCGGGAATTCGTACTCGTTTAATCAAATAAACACCGATACTCCGAATAAATTGTACGGAGACCGTTTTATTGCAGGTAAGATAAACGATGTACTATATTCTAGCCACTGGGTAGATACTTAATAGTCGTGGCAGATTTCATTCGAGGTGGCCAATACTTTGCTCGCGTCTCCATTTCCGCAGTCAACAAATCCACCAGTCAAGAGATCAGACAGGCGTAAGTCATCACCGAGTCCTTCCAACTTACTTCCTCCTGACACTTCTGAAAGATCGGAGATTGCTTTCTCAATGTACGGAGTCACCGGCTCCGTCACAAATGAAGTGAGAAGTGCCGTGGAGACCATCAACAGACACTCTCGCGTCACTGTCTGGATCCATACCTCTGGAGGCGGAGGCCGATCTGGAGTTATTCACGCAGAACCCCACGACGGTGAAGACTCGCCTCTTTTTGCGATCAAGGAAGGCGCAGATAACTTCTACCAGGAGTTGAGGGAGGGAAAGCATAGATATAGACGATTGTGAGTTCTCCCTCTTAGTTTCACTTCGGTCACAGGATATTTACATCGAAGCAGTGCACTTCTGTGGAGATACACCAACGTACCAAATTTCAACAATGCTTTCACGCCTTTTGACTATACTTTTGCCAATCAGAGGGTGATACCTGCTCTGCATGATGATTCATGGAATGGAACTAACTGAAATCCAGAGCTGGTACCTATTCGAAGACTTTACGCAGTACGACGCGTACCTTGAGCTCGTCAGGAAGAGTATGGCTTTCCCACAAATCACCGCTTGTTGGTGCCATCTACTAACCTCTTATATATGATAGTCCCTGTTTCAAAGTTCATCAACGGCAGAGAGCAACAAGCCGAGCTGTACGAAGAAGGGGCCAACATACTCTCCGTAATCCGCACCAAAGTGAGCCTGCGCATCCACAATACCCCGTTAGCTATCATTACATTACTGACAGGGGAAAAAAATAAAAATAAAAAAGGTCCAAGCCATCAACGAAAACCCCGAAGAAATAAACTCCCCAATTTCATATCCCATTCCAGAGGACTATAAGAAACTAGTCCTGGTAAGCACACAACCAACCATATCCTCCCATACCCTCTACTAACCCAACTTCGAAACAGCTGGCCATCAGGACAGTAACCATGATCGCCCAAGAACGAACCCTCGACAACGGCAGCTTCAGCGACAGTGAGTTCCCCCAAAACTGGTGTATTAGTATGGCCAGCCAATAAAAAAACTAGGCTAACGCTATATACCTTCTACAGTCGCACTCCCAACCCTCCAAGGAAACGCCCGCACGCTCTTCAAATTCCAGACCTACGACTTTGACACTGGATTCGGGAACACGGTTGTTTCCTTTGGCAGAAGAGACTCATCGTTCATATGTCTGAGCGGCCAGCGAGTATCCGATGGATATCGAGAAGAAAGCGTCTTCTGGGCATTTGAAGACCCGGTTGAGGAGGTCTCGGAGCAACAGGTCCATGTGGCTAGTATGCGAACGAGAGATTTGTTGCTTTTGAGTCGGACGGATCCTGGTCCGAGGCCGTTGTTTACGTTTTATGCGAAGAGTAGTTGGTAATTCTTCGTGATCTGATCGTGAAGAAGGGTGCTGGGTGGGGAAGCAGTGGTTTATGCATGTTGTCGGTAGGATTCACTTGTGTTGAGTGAGGGCTGGTTAATTGGGGTATTGTCCCATTGTGTTGGTTTAGTATAGTAGGAACTATGCTAGCAAGCAGCCTAACAAACTTTATTTCTGTAGCTGTATTGCAGATCCGGCTAAATGTGAATAGGCTGTAGATAGCCTTATTTTTTGATCAATTGCCCTTTCTTACTCTTTCTTGCTGTCTTTCATCTAGTTAAGAGGTCATTGGAACTGTTACTTCCTGTACAACGGGGAACATTAAGTTGTGTGTGCTCATCGCTACGGCTAGTATTAATCAGAAAATGATCCATATTTTCGAATAACAGCATACTAATTGTGGACTGAAGGGTTTTTCCCACTTGAACTAATTACTTCATAGAGCTATTTACATCGTATCACCACTATGCATATCCAGTAATAGACTGACTTTCATCCTCTAGTGCCATCAACAGAATAGTACTTTCTACTCCTTCCCAGGCCACTTCAGCACGACTTCCTCCTCACCCTCAAGAACCACCTTCACCCTAACCTTCCTCTCCAGGTTCAACGCCAACTCAAACGTTCCCGGAAACAACACCCAATCGCCATCCTCATTCACCCTCGCAAAGCTCCCCACCTCAACGGGAACCCTCAACTCCCTCGTCTCTTCAACCTTCACCTCCCCAAGCCGATCCCACCCGACCAGCCACTTCTTGGGATACGGCGCCGGACCGGCATCAGAGGTATTGGCGAATACCATAGCAGTGTAATCCGATTCCAGCTTTCCAGTGTTCTTGATATTGGCAGTGAAGTTCAGCACAGGGAGCTGGGTAATTGAGGCTAGCTCTTCGTGTGTCTGGGAAAGAATGTCCTGGATGTTGAGCTTAACTTCCTTCGTAGTGGTGTTGCTGGATGATTCCGCGAAGGTCGTGTAGAATAATCCGTGGCCGAACTCGTACACTGCTTCGCCGGTGTACCATTTGTATGTTTGGCCGGGGTTATCACCCTCAGGACGGAGGTTCATATCCGTCGCGGGGAACTCCTCCGCGTGGCTGGCTGGGTATTGTGTCGTGACTAGTCTGCCCGCGGGGTTCTTCTTTCCCGTGATGATGTCTCTCAGAGCGAAACCGCCGGATTGGCCGGGGTATCCGCCCCAGAGGAGCGCAGAGACGTTCGTGTTGTTCTTGAGGGACGAGGAATCGACCTGTCCGCCGCCCATTTGGAGAACGATGAGCGGCTTGCTTCCGGCCGACGAGGCGAGCTTTTGGATCAAGTCCAGTTGGTTACCCGGCCATGCGATGCTCTCGCGATCCAGTGCCTCCGCTTCAAGAGTATTGTCGATACCACCGGCGTAGATGATCACGTCGGCGGACCGGGCGGCGGATAAGGCGGCTGCGAAGCCCGAGGTGCTTGTGGAGGAGATACCGGTGCCTTCGGCGAAATTGACTTTGTATCCGGCTTCTTCGAACGCGGCGCGGGGGCTGATCATGTAGGGAGCGTTGCCGTAGTAGTTGCCCAGGAGTTGGGTGGTGGCGTTGGCCCAGGGACCGATAAGGGCGACGGTGGTGTTGGATGGTGGGTAAGCTTTCTCGGTGAGGGGAAGGACGTTGTTGGAGTTCTTGAGAAGGACAATGCCCTGCGTCGCGGCTTGGTAGGAGATGTTCCATGCGTCCGTCTCGAGGACATCGGACCAGGTGAGGTCGCGGTAGGGGTTGTTCGCCTTGGTGGTATTGGAGTCGAAGTATCCGGCCTGCACAAGGGTCGTGTAGAGGCGGATCACACCCTTCTCGATATCATCGCGAGAGAGATCTCCCGCAGTGATGGACTCGTTCAGGTGCCATTGGTAGGTGGTACCGCAGTCGATGTCAGTGCCAGCGAGGATGGCCTCAGCGGCAGCGGCAGCCTGGGAGGAGGCGTAGCCGTGGGGATTGTAGATGTTGTAGGCGGCGTCGCAGTCGCTGGAGACGTAGCCGTGGTCAACGAATCCGAAGGTGTCGCGGAGGAGGGTCTGGAGGAAGTAAGAGTCGGCGCAGGCAGGGACGCCGTTGACGGCGTTATAGGCACACATGACACTGTGGACTTTGGCGTCGCGGGCGGCGACGTGGAACTGGGGAGTGTAGTATTCCGACAGGTCTTGCTGGGTGATGTTCATGTCGTTGCCCAGACGGGAGTGGTTGTGCCAGTTCTCGATGTCATAGCCGGCGTAGTGCTTGGCCGTGGCGGCGAGTTTGAGGTTCGAGTCTGGGTCGGGACCCTGGATGCCGGTGATGTATTCGTAGGCGTAGACGGCGGCGAGAGAGACGTCCTCTCCTGGAGTTTCTTGTCCGCGACCCCAGACGGGGTGGCGGAAGGTGTTGATGTTTGGGGCGTAGACATCGAGGCCGTAGCGGCCGGCGTTGTTGAAGGCGCGGCCTTGGGTGGAGATGATGGAGGCGATTTGGTGGATGAGGGTGCGGTTGAGGGCCGCGGTGGTCAAGATAGGCTGGGGGAACGAAGTGGCCCAATTGTAGGAGCCTGAGTCGCTGAAGTTGGCACGGTCGAGGCCGTGAAGTGCTTCACTCCATACTTGGTATGCAGGGAGGCCCAGTCGGGAGACACCGAGACCGGTGTTGCCGGTGTTGGCGATCAGCTCGTCCAGCGTGAAGAGCGAGATGAGCGATGCTGCTCGGTCATAGGGGGTGGCTGATTCGTCGCAGATGAGGTGGCTGCGCAGGGGGCCATTCTGGCAGTCGGGGAAGCTCAGTGGGATGGTTTCTATGCACAAAGGGTACAAGTCAGGGTTGGCCTCGACGTTGTAATCAACGTAGCTGGTGTTGGCCTGGGCAAGAGCTTGGGGAAGAGCCAGAGCTAACAGAGCAGCGGCAGTGGCAGCCACGGGACGAGACATTGAGTGCGCCATGGTTGAGCCAGTCTGTGGGGGGAGAAAAAGATGGTCGGGGACTGAATCTGGGGTAGATTTATAGAATTTTGCGGAGATGCGGAGATGCGCCGGAGAATGGCCGATTGACTTCATCGCGGGGTTTAGCCTGAATGATTTAGCCGGCATTGGGAAGAACTTGGAATGCTTGCATTTAGCAATTTCAACAATACGAACATTGGCATTGTTTAACAAGTAGAGATCTGCTCAGGCACCGGGTAAATAAGTCTTTGGTATGGCGTGACATCGCTTGGGAAATATGAAGCCATCCCCGTCCGAAAGGGGTAATCTTCTATTGCAGCACATTCACCGTCTCTCCCCTCAACAACTCGCCCAAAACACCCGCAACATCCTCCACCTCTTCCAAGTTCAACACCACCTCCTCGATCTTTTTCTGCCTCTCCTCCGGAATCACCCCCTTCGTCACAGCCCGCCACTTCTCCAACACCTCCTCATTGGTCACCCCGGGGTGGACTCCCTTGGGCGCGTTCAGCAACTTCTCCAGCACCTCCCCATCCTCAAACGTGATCTTGACCCTCTGCGCCCACGTATTATCCAGCTCCTTAGCCTCCCGACACTCCACCAATCCAATCACATCCCACAGCTCCTCCCGGTTCAACATACTCGGCGCAAACTGCCCCGGCACAATCTCCCCATCCACGACCTGCAATGCCACCGCGTACGGTATACTCATTTGCGCCGCTGTGACGGTAGCCGGCTTCTCCGGCGCCCAACCACCCTTCTTCATCGCAGCCCTCGCCATCTCTGCTTCGATCTTGATGATCTTCTTCCACTCGCCCATCTTGGCAGGATGCTCGGCCTGAATATCCTTAACACAATCTACTGTACAATGCGTCACTGCGCACAATGCATGCAGCTTCTGCTTGATCTTCTTGATCTGCCACACCTCCCCTAATCCCTTACAAATTTCTTCTGGGTGAAACTTGGGCTCAGTCTCCGCCCCGAGCGAGAACATCTTCAAGAAACCACCATACTCGCGGTCAAAGATCTCCTTGATTCCCGTGAATCCCTGCTTTGCCAGGTATGTGGCAAGTACTCCGCTCCGCGATGCGAACCCATGCTGCATGCGCTTCACCATACTCTCGAATTGCGCGGACATAAGTCCGCAGGCCTGTGTACACGCCATGCCCAGGGCATCTTCGATCTGCGCGGCGGGAAGATTTAACAGCTTGGAGACAGCTGCGGCAGATGCAGCAGGGCCGAAGATGGCACCGGAGTGCCATCCGATTGTGAGCATGTGTGTTCCGCCCAGGGCGTAGCCTACTCGGGGTCCTGTTTCGCAGCCGGCAACTGTGGCAGTGAGGAAGTCTTTGCCGCTGATAGGGCGAGTCGAACTGCCCTGCTCCTGTTCTGCGGCTGCGAGGATTGCTGGGACGATGACGGACATGTTGTGCAAGGGGGCCTCGATGTGGATGTCGTCGAGGTCGAAGCCTTGAATGAAGGTGCTGTTCAGGAGGGCGGCGGCATTGGGAGGGAGGGTCTATCACTTCATTAGTATCCTATCCATTACGTCTATAGTCGTGAAGGAATCTGATTAGAGGAGAAAGAAATACCTCATTCCATCCGATCACGGTACATTTGCCCTCTCCCTCAATGGCAGTGATGGCATCATGGGCCTTGACGGACCAGGGGAGTCGTGCCCCCAGCAGAGCACAGGCCAATCCATCGAGAATGAGGTATTTGGCTCGTTCACGGACTTCGGCGGGAATGGACTGGGGAGTGAGTTCTTCCAGCCAGTTGGAGAGAGTATGAGTTACAGGAGTACCGGTGGAAGTGGCGGGGGGAGGTGTGTGAGAGGTCATTGTGGTAGAACTTTATTATGTATTATGTGACTGAAGGACAGGTAAATGATGGGAAATAATTGATGGAAACTAAAGGGAGGATAGGAGTATGATAGCGACTGAGAAGAATGGCTTGGCGAGGGAAAGGTGGAAGTTTGTCAGTTATAGCCCTATGGGGATATGAATGATTACCCAACAACAACAACAAAAAAAAAAAAAAAAAAAAAAAAAAAAAAAAAAAAAAAAAAAAAAAAAAAAAAGAAAAGAAAGTAAGAAGGGTGCTTCTTGGCGAACCCGATTGTCTCCATTTTCTCGATTCGATTCATTTCTGGATCTGACTATCATTTGGACTATAGTCTACTAGGAGTATTTCGGTGCGGAGTTTAGACACGGCGTAGAAATGCCCGGATCGACTGGTCAATGACCCACTTTATAGACTATCATTGCATTAGGCCGTGTTCGGATATTGATCAAGTTAAAACACATCAATAGTCTAACTGATATGCAAAGGTCAATATTCGTTTTGCAAAAACGATATGTCATTGTCGATCTTTGATTTCTCGTTTCTGGCATGCCGATCGCTGCCGCCCGATTGCAACTAGTGAAGCTAATTATTATACGAGATCTTGAGGAGCGCTCTACGGAAGCAGCAACGAAAGCAATAACGAAAGCGAAATGAATGAACGAACGGAAGTGAAAGAGTGAGTTGAATTGAGCTATCTAAGAGAGCAAAATAAAGTAACTAGAAGAGGTGTTTTGTGGGCAGTCTGAGTACAGTATATAATTAGTCTATATAAATGTTTTGACCCGGCCCTCTAGACAAAGAAGTATGTGAAAAGATATTAAATAAAATTATAAATATTTCTTAAATAGAAATGTAACCTCTGCCCTCATTATCTGTTTGCATCTTCTTCATGTTCCTCTGCTTCTCTCCCAGCGATTCGGCATGCACTACCTTGTGTTCTGCAATACCTTTCCTGGGCGACTTTGATGGGCCCAAGCAATCCCTGCTGGTAAATTTACTGAAAATGAGTCTATTTAAAAGTTCATCTGTTGTTCTGTAGCACTTATGAACGACCATTGGTGCGACCCTCCTCAACCTGCTCTGCCATTGCTTTCCTTCTATAATGATACATCTGAGTCGTAGACTGGCGAATTATCGAAACGCTTCATCGCTTCAGGAGATATAGGACGGGGAGGCTCTGGTACGTAGTTCTCCGGTACATAGTGAACAACCTCCACGAATTCAACATGCCGCGATTGGTACCCGATCATCCCAAGATCTTTCAGTTCCTCAAAGAAATTCACCATGACGTCCCAAGATGGCCTTCCGCGTGGATTATACCTCACCTTTTCTTTATAGATTCGTTCTCCTTCCTCGTCGGCAAACTCGATGAAGTAAGCCAACCGCCTTGCAGTTTGCATCTGGTACTCACAAGTCCCCTCTATCCATGCAGGATTCTGGGACTTGATCGCCGCCGAGGGATACTCAGCTGGATCTTCATCATCAAGGTGCCAGCATGGTAGCCCTCGGAAGGTTTCAATAGAGGAGATACCTTCCTCATCTAAGTCTGCAGGGAAATAGATTGTCAGGATCTCATAAAGTCTCTGAGAAGGGAAAAGCGGATTTGCGCGTATGATCATCCCAGTATCACGGATCGGCCAGGCAATTTCTTGGCTCCATGAGCGATGTGCAAGGGCTTCATTCAATCTGAGGCAAAGCACCGAGGTAAGAAACTCTTCCCTGTCTCTGCTGCTTCTCCACTCTAGGAGTTGGTTAATTATTGGATATCTAGAAGACGTTATAGCATCTTCGTACATCGGAAGGTTAATGCTGCTTACCAATAATCAACCACTCAATCTCGCTTAGTTCACGTGGACGGCCTCGGGCGATAAAGATGCATTCGTTGAGTTTGTGTATCTCTTGAAGGGTCGCAAAAAGTTCGTCGCTATTTGGGATGACACCATTGGGTGAATCTTTGAGCGATATCCATTCTAGCAATCTGCGGCTCTGAGGAGGCCTTTCCGCTGAATATGGATCTTTGGCGTTTGTTTTCGTGGTAGTGTTGTTGATAGCCTGCAAGTCATTCTGTTGCTTTGAAGCGCGTTTCGGTGTGGTCTTCTCAGCATTCATTTCACTGGCACGCGTGACCGATCGAATAACAGGCATGGTGTAGTGAGCCAACAAGGCGGTGCTAAATAAAGAAAAAGACGTTGAGAAGTATCAAGGGAAGAGGGGAGAGGTTATGTGACGTGTATTGGGGCGCCAACCTAGAAACAGCAAACTAACCACATGCAGTAACGTATTTCCAAAGCGAGCGGGCCACCTCTTCAAAAATCGACGCGTTTTATTACTATTTTGTGGAGCTGGAGACAAAAGAAATGTGATGGATTCTGGTGGTGGTTTCTGTCCGGTCAATACTAGACGGACATGATATACCCCTGACCTACATGGTCTGATAACTACACAATCGATTGTGTTGTGAAAAGCTAATCCACCTGCTGAATGGATTGAACAAAATGCCACAGCAGTAGGAAATTAGCGAGTTGTAGGGTTTCGAGATTTGGTAGGCCCTGTAAATAAGGTGTCGAATCGGATACAGAGATTGAAGAAGACCGTAGAACCCTCAGTATAGGCAACTACGTACCACCCTCGTTCATCTGCCAATGACAAACACGGGTATATAATGCGGACTACCCTCTTCACAGATACTTACATTCAAAATAAAAACCTAATTCAACATCAAACTATATGTCTTCTTCAACAATCTAAAGCTCCATAACACTCCTATGTAAATAACACAAGCAATACATGTTAACCCTTACCACAAACCCACACGACCAGATCAAAACCCCCTGCCACAAAAAACACTGCATCATATCATACTATATCTACTGCTATCATGAGCAGTAATCACTATTTCCAGGACCTGCATCCTCGCAGCCCCAAGTACATTTTTCCACAATACTGACGGATCCATCGGCATTGCAGTGCCACAGGTAGTACATCGGGTGGGCAATAGCCGAATTGAACTCGGTATATTTCTCCGCAATGGCGGCAGTCATCAAGTTAATGTACTTTGAATCTAAAGAAATTCAATGGTGAAAGTCAGACTACGATGTTGAACAATATGCTTGATATCTTCAGGTGAAGGTAAAATGCTATGGGAGCACACGTACCGATACTTTTAAGAATATTGGCGCAGTAGTTCAGGCCAGCATTGCAGTTGGCAGCCTGAACAGAGGTGGTAAGGGCCAGGGCACCGGCAACGAGGGTGGGGAGGAGCTTCATGGTTGGTTTTGGTTGGATGGATACTGGATATGCTTATGAAGAGGTGGACGATAGTAAGATGAGGAGATGGTGGGTTCAGTGATGGAGGTCGAGAGGAAAGGGGGAGTGTGACTTTATATAGACCTCGGGTTCGTACTAGAGGATGCTACTTAGACTGAGGCATTTTAGTAGCAGTAGCGGTCGTAGTAACTCTCCACTTTTTGATTCCTATGACGGTGATAATCCAACATCGTCGCGCAGTAGTGTGGCGCCTACAATGATAGTGTATGGTTCGCAGGCTTGGCACTTAGAAGTATTGGCCACCGAGAACACTCCATGGTGACCTTTGAGATGCACGAGATCATAGATTTGGACTGAGCAAAGCATGCATAGATTGAGAAAGTGGCATCGGAAATAACTTCCGCGTGTGCAGCCACGGGATTGGATGGTTGGTTCCGGTCTACTAAATTAGTCTCACTACCCAGAGTTCATGAATCATGATAGAGAATCTAAAAATTAGATATGATTGGACATTGGACCAAATTAGTTGGTATCTCCGGCCTCAGCCCCGATTTCCAGCTGAAATGTGGATGCTGGATAGATGATACATAGACTAGTAGTTACAGTGGTATCTCAAAAGTTTGCGTTGCCCCACTGTATATGCTAATAATCCTACCTTCCTGATATAGTAAGACTATATCAATATATTATATTACAAAGAATTAATATTTATTATATTAATATTTATATAAAGTTTTATGATTATATACTTTATATATTATTCTAACTGACAGAATGATTTTGATCTAATGATATTTGGAAGGCGGAATTAAATATAATTAGTATATCATATAGGGCAACGCAAATTATTGACATACCATTGTAAACTCCACAAATCAGTTATCATTGTTGATAAACATCGCAGGCACCCATTTTGCACAGAAATACACCTCATCGTATGACACGGTTGACACCATGGATACTGTAGATAACAACCAAGAAATATTGTTGAATATATTAACTAAAGAATATAGCGCAAACTATGGAGTAACCAAGACCCAGACCCGAAAACAGTAGACTCCTATGATGACCCATTCTGTACAATTCCATCCCTAACCCCTAATCCTAGTTCGGCACGTACACCTGCAGTGGCCGCCACAAATCCGGTGCGCGTTCTACATTCGTTAGTTTCTCTCCTTCGCAATAAGGGAAGTGACGAAAACTTACCAGTCTGCTCCTTCCAGTGTGCCATCACACCCGACACCCGTGCAGTGGCTGCCAGCACCGTCGCAAATTGCGAGTCAATACCCCTGCATGGATTAGTAGACATCCTCTTGTATTTTCTGGGGAATGCTTACAGTGCCGTGTACACGAAACTTCCGTACAAGTCCGCATTCGCCTGCAGGTTGCGCTTGACGAAGTACTCGTGTGTGCTGGCAATCCGGTCGATCTCCATGGCCACCTGGAGCACAGGGTCCATCTCGCGAATGTCGCGATCCCGCGTCAGTTCGTCCAGCATCTCGCGCACGTACTTCGCCCTAGGGTCCACCTGCTTGTAGATCCGATGGCCGTACCCGGATAGCCGGCACTCCTTGTTTATCACCTTCTCGATCAACTTGGGCACATTCTCCGGTCCACCAATCTCCCGCATTCCTCGGTATGCCGCGTCGATGGCACCTCCGTGCAATAGTCCGTAGCCAGACATGCAGCATGCAGCCATCGCCGAAAGTGGGTCGGCCAGGGAAGACGA